TATAGTATGTTATTGCACTATATAATCGCGAGTGGTCGAAGTCTAGAATGATTGCATGATTAAAAAATGACAATATATCTTAGTATAAGGGGCAAACATTCTTTACTCTTACCTAAGAAACTCTTCCTTCAAGCCTGAGGAGAAAAAATTATATACAACTATACAAGTATTAGAAACGAAAACGTGCTTGTGACATATTCATTTATCAGTACACGTCAATGGATAGTTGAAAATATTTAGTTCACCTCCATGAAAAATAAATTGTTGATACATGTACAGAGAGATAGATACTAAAATTTTGTTAAACTATTTCACAATTTGAATTCTAAAGAAAACATTAACAAAAAAATCTCTATTGCATCTATGCTTGTACCACATGCATAATGATTGTAACACTTATCCATCTTAATTACCACTCTGTAATTGACTACGTAATGGATTATAATGAGACTGATCGATGTTATAAGTCATCCTCCTAACTATTTTGAATTTTCTGATAAAATAAACTTGGATAAAATGAATTAATTACAGTACATTTGCTTCATTCAATTTTTTTATCGTTTAGTGTGATCATGTAATTGACCTCTGATGTTTAGATATATGAATTAATGTTGACATATTCATTGTTTAAAATTGTGTTGTTCACAAAATTGAAAAATATCATTTATAAGAAATCCATAGATTTATACATTCTTATAGAGTCTAATAATTTAAACCTATGAACTTTTTTTAAAACTTTTTGTAGAATATTGAGCATTGTATTAATTATAAGTATATTGGTTATGAATGTATAACTAATCTATACTTGTGTGTAGACTTAGGTTCAAGTGAGAAATTCATCTAATGTGAGAAATGAGAACTAATCTCAACCATTAGATTTATGACATTGCTCTAAAAATAGTTTCATGTTGCAGTAAGATTTAAATTTTGCAGTGTTGTACTAAAATTGTTTCATGTTGCACTAATCTTTGACGATGTTACACCAAGACAACTTAATGTTCCACTAGAAAACTGTAATACGAGTATGAATTTTTCAGAAAATGTCACTATATAAGCTATGTTGCATATTGTAGTGCAATATACAGTGTTTTTACTGCAAAATATTTGAATCCAACAATTGAGATTCATTATCATTTCTCACATAAATGTTTCTTCTTATTTGAACTTCACTCTATACTCTAAAAAAATTCCCTAAAAAGACCCTTTTTTTATCTTCCTTGACAAACACAAGAAGAAAATGGATGATCTTTTCTTCCATGTTGTCCATCCAATGCCTACTTTGGAGGATAAAAACAAAGGCCCGCTTTTGTAGACTTGTTCTTTCTTTTCCTTTTATCCCTTTGTTCTTCCTTTTCCTTTGTTCTTCCCTTTGTTCTTCCTTTTCCTTAGTTCTTCCCTTTGTTATCCTCTTCCTCCCTTCCCATCCCTTTCCCGATTCTTTCCTACCCTCGACTCCCCTCGACTGCTACTTCCTGCCCCCCTACCCCCACAGGGGGGTTTCGCGCCACCGAGGTAGCATAACGCCCCTTGGCGCTCCGGCCCGACACCAAGGCAGCGGGACGCCCCGAGCCGACCGGCCTAAACCTAACCCCTAAGCCTAACGGCGCCCTCCCCCTAAAAGGACCAATCAAATAGATTTGTATTGTAATTATATATACTCTACTTTTCTCTAGCCAAGCCCATTTTATTATTAGAATATAGTCCAAGCCCATGTATTTCAGATGAATGATTATACTATCTGGACCCTATATTTTCGTGTAATGCCCCTATAATAGAAAGTCTTTCATGTTCAATTCTCCCTTTTACTTCTAGACATTAAATCTTTTTACCTGTCTTAAATTTTATTTATTTAATTAAGTTCAATATATTTTAGTTTAAGCTCATCGAAACAAAGACATTATATATTTTACCAAAATAATATTAAAAATCATAATATTTAAATAAAATTCGTAATAAATAATTTAGGTTGACAAATATATCCTAAGCTCTCAGTCTTTTCTCAAACCCTAGCCTCCATTCTCCCACCTCCGTAGATCCACCCGCCTGCAGCCGCAAGCCCCTACCGCCGCCGCCACCCCATGGCCCGCCGTCTGTCGCCGCCCCATGCCCCGCCGTTCGCCGCCGTCCAGGAGTATGTTCGCTGCAGCCAGCCCGTTGATTTCCCAGCCACTCTAGCCCCACGCCTACTCGACACAGCCACCATCCAAACCAATGTGATCCACACATGTGATCGTCCCTACACATGTGCGCTGCTGCCGTCCCAATCCACATGTGCTACCGCCGTCGCGAACCATGCAATCTGCCGCCCAGTCGCCCGCCTCTATCTGATGCGCTTACCATGGAATGCTGCCAAAACCTCGTAGGGAGGACCATGGGTGCGCGCGCAAGTTATGTACGTGAAACTAGGTTTGTAGCAATTTGTACGTGAGGATGGGCCTGCAAGATTGGGTTTGCTTTGGATACGGAGGCCACTCCTTTGGATTTGTTGCGTGAAATTTTTTATTCATTAAATATGTGCAGTGAATATGGGAAGTGAACATCACAATAGATATTGTAGAGCATGGTAAGTGAATTTAGGGGTTGTGTGCATTAAATATGGGCATTGAACATTGGCAGTGAACACGACAATAAGTGTTGAGTATATATGACAGTGAATATGACAATATATATATAGTACATGGCAGTAAATGAATACATTAAGAAAGTTTGCAGTGAAATCATTATGACCAATAGTGTAATAATGTCGCCATGAAACACAATATACTTAATTAGATGTAAAATAATGCAATTACTAAATCTAAAAAAATAAAAAATAAAAATTTTGAATAATTCCGTATAGTGAATGAGAAGATAATTATTTTTTTCGGAAATGCATTGATTATTACCGAATGTGCATTAATATCGTGCATTAATGTCGTGCAGTAACGATAATATAAAGTGCAGTAATTTTAACTGGACGAAATTAGTGCAAAATCCACATGGGTATATTCGTTATTCAATTTTTAAATAAACAGGGTATTTTTGTCATTCAATTTTTAAATATAAACAAAATTTGTTTTTTATTTTTATTTTCGGTCATTCAAAAGTCCAAAAACTAGTTACGTCATAGATTGGGAAACTCATTCAGTTTAGTCATATATTTTGGTCATATCGAGATTTAAATAAATTTCTCAGTTAGCCAATATCAGTTAGAGTACGACATTTACGTGCTCATGCATATTTTATTAGGAATTCCGATCAGGCGTTTATGATTATTGTATTATAGAGAAAAGAGGCAAATAAACCTTTATTTAGGAGGCTCTGTTCAGTCGTCACCATTTGGGTCGGTTCCCGGTGACATTTTTTTATAAATTTTTTTGAGCATTTTATTCATTAAGTCTAGTTACTCATACCAAATTTCAGGTAAAACTTCAATCAGGAAGGCATTCAAATGACTTCTTGAAGATAAATGCCCTTTTAATTGCGTAGTTATCTTCAAGAATTCATTTGCATACCTTCCCGATTGAATTGTTAGCTGAAATTTGGTAAAAATAAATTAGACTTAATGAATAAGATGATAAAAAAAATCATCAAAAAATTACACCGGGAACTGCCCCAAATGGCAACGGGCGGACACAATCCCCTATATAAGGGCTTATTTGACTTTTTTAGTTAGTACGTGGGCTTAGTTGGCCCTTTTCCCTTGTATTATATGTTGATGATCTAAATATAATCGTGATTCCTGACCAACTTCAAAAGGTCATAGAATATGATGCTTAAAAAGAGAACTTGAAATGAAGAATTGGGAAAATGGAAACTATTAATCCAATCTTTTAGCGGTCTACTTACAATAATACAACCTTTTCGTTATTCATGAATAATCCAACCTTTGCACCTCATCTTCATTCACTGGTCTCTGACCGGTTGATGACATGTTATTCCAAGTTATTTTCTTATCTTTGCAAGCTGTTAAATGTCCCACACCGGAAACATTTGGATGAACAAAGTGCTATATTAACACACGGGCTACTCCTCCTATCAGGTTGACCTTTTAAGATGAAACCTTAAGTCTTAACATGGTATCAGAGCCAAATCGATCCATGGTGTGGGACCCCTTATGAAAAATGATGACACGAATAAAAAAACGGCCGGATGAAAAAAACGGACCGATGAAAAAAAATGAATGATTGCACGATCCAGACGAAGTGTCTGGTCGTGAGGATGGAACCTCAAGTCTTAACACAAGCCGTTATACCATAAATCTCACCTTTCACAAAAATAATATTTTGCAAAAATAAGAAAATAACTTGGAATAACATGTCATTAACCGGTCAAGGACCAGAGAATGAAGATGGGGTGCAAGTGTGCAACGGTTAGATTATTCTTGAATAACGAAAAGATGAGACTATTGTAAGAAGACCGATAAAAGATTGGATTATTAGTTTCCATTTTCCATCCGCTAAGTAAACTGTAAAGTAATATGGGCTATAGAGGCTCATTTAACAATAAAATTACCACATCACTAGGGAGGAGTAGTCGGTCCCGTGCATACACTACGTATGAAGTTTTAAATTGAAATATTTTCGCTTTCAGATTGAACAAGATGAGACTTAAACAGTTAGATTAGATTTGAACAAACTAATTAACAAGGTAGATTAAACAAAATTTCAAAACTATTAAAATAAAAATGCATCAAACGTGTATGAGACCAAACTAATTTAGAATATACTTAAACATCCAAATTAAATTAGATTAAACTTAAATAGATTATATCATAAAATATTAGTTAACTTCAAAACGTGGAACATTTGAATCCAGCGGTCTCCAATTATTGAGTTCTAAGGAATTTAAAACGAAATTTGCATGTTTCTATTTATTAATCAAAATAAACCACAAGGTGATCAATGTATAGTTGTATACTTGGGATATGTTTCAACGTGGAATCCACTTGTGGTGGTCAGTACTAATCCTCGTCTGCACGACACTGTTAACCTTTCATTTTTCATTTTTTTCAATAAAAGCTCAACTGTATTTTGTAGGTTCTCGTCCGTTTCAACTGAGGTCAATTTAAAGTATGAAAAGAATTCTTAATTTGGTATGACATTTTGGGAAGTTTATTTAAAACATTCCTAAATTCTTAAATTATAATTAACAAATTTAAATATATGATTAAATAAAATGATGGATGAAAAAACCATATCGAAATACATACCGGGCGTTTAGCCAATTTTTTTAATTATCAAAACAGACCTCTATTCATATCAAAAGATTCAGGATCATTACATTAAACAAAGAGAAAATAAAACTGACACCAACTGAAACTCCAACAACTACGACTATAACCTTATGGTGAGACTTTGAGACGGTCACCCCTGAGAGAGCAACACGAATCGCTAACCATGTAGTGGGCTTGACACAACCAAATCTGTTCTCATAGATCCAACCATACCCAATGGCATAAACAGCGGCAAAAAAACTCAAACAACTGTCAAAACCAACAACACAAAAAGACACAAGAAAACAAATAACAAACAGATAAAAACTACAAGAAAAACTTTCACGAACTCTAACGCCTTGTACATCCCATGGTGGTGGTTCAAGAGCATGTCGTACCACCGGTACCATGCTAATTGATCCTCCATGACATTTGGCTGCCAAAAACCATGCATCAATCCTCTTTCCCCACATAACCAAACTCATCCATGCTCCGTGCGACCAGAGTAAACGGATAGGCGGCGCCGATCTTCTCCAACGACGACAGCAAGTCAGCAACGCTGCATCCTCGACCCTTGACCACATCGCCGATCTCCTCGAGCCATGACAGCAAATCCGTCCTCCTCCACCGATCTCCGCCCTTCGCGTCTGACTTGGACTCCAGCCGAGCACCAGCGACCAAGCTAAGGGATAGCAAAGCCGATCTTCGACAAAGTCGAAATCGGAAAAAGGCTCCAGCGGCCGACATAGTCAAAGCCCTAGAGAGAACTCACAACAAACAAATTAATTAGAGAAGCCAAGAATCACATCCGCATGCCAATCACATATGAAACAATGGCCCTATTATTACTCCCCAGGTTTCTATTTCAAAAAATATAACCACTTTTGTTTTTCCCCAAAACGTGACCCCTCCCTCCGTCTCCCGTGAATTAGACAGGTCGCCCGCAGGCCGCATCCATCTGCATCATCATCCGAGATGAACAAGCTCTTCGCATCTGCTCCGAGATCTACCAGCTCTGCATCGCCTATCTTCTTCCGTCACCAGCTCCGTCGAAGACAGCGAATCTCGCCGCCTACACCACCAGACGCCGCCCGCTCCAGATCTGCTCCACAAGCTTTGTCCTTCCGTCGTGTCTGCTCCAAATCCGCTCAACTCCAGATGATTCACCACTTCGGCGAGCTCGGAATGAAGGACGACGCTTCGGATATGGCTCCAATGGACGACGACCAAAGCTTGGAATCCATTGACGACTGGAGAAGCTTTGCGATTTCATTTCTTCTTCTGCAATTTCATCCCTTCTTCTTTAATTTATCCTTCTGTGATGGTCTCCATTGCTAAGGTTAGAAATCTGGCCGCTGGGACTGAGATCTGGTGAGGCAGGTGGGTTGGGTGACGCAGAGTGAGGTGGGTGAGGCAGGGGGCTGGGATGAGACAGGGGAGTGGGGTGGGTGAGGTAGGGGGCTGGGTGAGGTAGGGGCTGGGGTGTGGTGGTTGACAGCGGAGGTTGGCAGGTCGCAGACTTTGGCCGGTTGTGTTGGGGGGGGGGGGGGGGGGGTGAATCTGGGCGGTGTTGGGGGTGGATCTGGTTGTGAGGGGTTGATGGACGGCTCTAGGCTAGGACAAGGTGCAAGGGTTGTGCCGGAGTGTCAATAGCACGCGGTGGCGTCACTGCGACGGCGTCACTGCGGTTGTGTCCGGCTACAGTGACATGGGTGGGAGCTATAGTGACACGAGCGGTGGCTACAGTGACACGGACGGTGGCTACAGTGACACAGGCGGTGGTTGTAGTGACACAGGCGGTGGCTACAGTGACACGGGCGGTGGTTGTAGTGACATGGGTGGTGGCTACAGTGACACGGGCGGTGGTTGTAGTGACATGGGTGATGGTTGTAGTTACAAAAAAACGAACACACAGTGACATAAAATTTTTGCAGTTACATCATGTTTTCTAATTGCACATATATGACCTTCTTGATCACTTTTTTGCCCCCTTTTAAAAGTGATCACTTTTTGGGTAAATGGTTCAAAATTAGTAATATCCAAGTAAAAACCCCATCACATATTACACAAAAATTTTTACCGTACAGCCAAATTAAAACACCTTTAATTTAACATCTCGTTTTATCATATTTCTAATAATTTTCTCTTACATAAATTCAAAAACAATTCTTGTCGCATATAAATTCTTGTCCATAAAACACGTACATACGTAGTATGATATAATAATTAATAACAAATAAGCATGCTTAGTTAGAAACAAAATCAGCCGGGAACACGACCTCCGTCCTCCATAGCACAAGTTACATTCTTCAAATTGTGATATTTGAAAAAAAATGTGAAAAACGTCATTATTTTTTTGAAAGATATACGGAGTAGTTAGTAATTGAGATGTAAAAAATATAATAATATTTAAATCTTTAAATAATAAAAAAACACAAAAAATTACGGAGTATAAAAATCTAAATTTTGTAAAAATCAAACATTATATAATAATGTGAATTTATAAATTATTCAAAAATGTAAAAACATAAGAAAATTAAAAAAATGGAATACAATGTTATACATTCCTCCAAAAAAACCAAGTCGAAATTTATTATTTCCAAACGGAAAAGCCAGTCCCCCTTTAAATTATTTCCAATTTTTTTTATACATTTTGTGTGTTTTTCTTCGAATTATTTGTAAATGTATCATAATTCCTGTACTTTCTTACATTTTACTTTCTCTTTAAGAAGTAAAAATATTAATAATAATTTTATAAGCAATATATACGGAGCATGGTATATGAGCATTTTCTATATAATAAATACTACTCTATAGTATATAACTATTTTTCCTGTTTTGCTATATAGCTTTCTAATGTTTAAATAGGCTTCAATATAATTTCTTATATATGTAAAGTGTTTTCAATTTTTTAAAATTTTTTGTGGTTGCAGGTAGTTTCTAAGAATATTTTCAAAACAAAGAAATCGGACAATTTTTAATATTTTCTGGACATTTTTAGAAAAATATGGGTCTCTGGGAGTAACCAATGGTAGTGGGGTGGAGACAAGACTAAATGGGGAATAAAAAGAATTAATTGTCATTAATTAAAAAGATGAAACTTACAAAAAAATCCCAAAACATTGATAAACAAGGCCGAAAAGCTCTCTAAATTTCGTGTTCGGCACTCTCTCTAAGCCCCCTCAAAAAGGAGATTTACGGGCCGTTTAAATAAAAAAACGGGTGAAATTTGAGCTGAATTAGGATTTTCAGAGGCAGACAGTGTCTTCAACCGTGCCTCCGGGGGAATCCCGCGCATCATGGCCAGGCACGACGTGCCTCCCTGCTAGGCACGCCCATGCCTGGCAATTCAGGGAGTTCGTAGTAATGAGTGTCTTTCATTTGGCAATTATCGACTTGGGAGTTGGGAGTAAGGTGAATGTTTGGAGGTGATTTGCTGGTGAGATGCTAAACAAACTTATTTCTGTTATAATATGGAAGGAAATAAGCAGAAGATCAGGGAGAGAAATATAGTATGAACACTTAGTGATAGATTATATTATTGAGAGTGTGATAATGGTGTAACCATGGTGTGTTAATTACAATGAGAATGACTCCTATTTATAGGAGAAAGTGTGAGCTCAATGAGATTAGGAGATCATTGTGAGCCACACATTTATCACCTTGAAATCATAATTATGATTTCCTAATTATTTATATAATGGTGATAATAATTCCTAATCAGGAATAGTTGGAAGATGACTAATTCAATTATATTTCAACACTCCCCCTTGAATGGTCATCTTCTAATTATTCTGGGGTATTAGTTTCATAGTATTATAACGTACTGTCTCGTTAAAAACCTTTGTCAAGAAAAACCCAGTGGGATAAAAACCTGACGAAGGGAAAAAGAGTGCAGTGCATTATATTACCCCCCCTCAATTTAACATATATCTCGAAGACGATACATTCCAATTTTATGGACCAGTTCTTCAAATTTCTTCGGTGCCAATGACTTTGTGAACAAATCAGCAGGGTTGTCGCATGACTTGATTTGTTTGACATCAACCGTTCCGTCTTTCTCAAGATCATGTGTGGAGAAAAGTTTTGGTGCTATATGCTTTGTTCTGTCCCCTTTGATGTAACCTCCTTTGATCTGAGCTATACATGCTGTATTATCTTCATAAATCACAGTAGGATTAGAAGTAAAAGATTTTATACCGCATTCATTTTGTATGTGCTGGATCATTGATCTCAACCAGACACACTCACGACCTGCTTCATAAAGAGCAATTAATTCTGCATGATTTGATGATGTTGCAGTTAATGTTTGCTTCATTGATCTCCATGATATAGCGGTATCACCATAGGTGAATAAATATCATGTTTGTGATTTTGCCTTTTGTGGATCAGACAAGTATCCTGCATCCGCGTAGCCAATTAAAGTGGCATTTGCACCATTCTTGAAATACAATCCAAGATCGATTGTACCATTGAGATATCGGAATATATGTTTGACACCATTCCAATGCCTTCTTGTTGGGGAAGAACTGTACCTGGCTAATAAATTTACAGAAAAAGCAAAATGTGGTCGAGTATTATTAGCCAAATACATTAATGCTCCAATAGCACTCAAATATGGTATTTCGGGACCAAGGATTTCTTCATCATCTTCACAAGGTCGGAAAGGATCATCATGCACATTGAGAGATCGAACCACCATTGGAGAATTGAGCGGATGTGCTTTATCCATGTAAAATCGCTTCAAAAGTTTCTCGGTATAATTTGATTGGTGGATGAAAATACCATTTCTCAAATGTTCAATTTGAATGCCGAGACAAAATTTTGTTCTCCCAAGGTCTTTCATTTCAAATTCTTTCATGAGATATTTTGCAGTATTTTCAATTTCATTAGGAGTTCCGATTATATTCAAATCATCAACATATACTGCAATTATGGCGAATCCTGATTCGGATCGCTGACTGAAAACACATGGACTAATAGGATCATTTTTATACCCTTCTTTAATCAAATATTCACTGAGACGGTTATACCACATGCGTCCAGATTGTTTTAATCCATATAATGACTTTTGCAATTTTATGGAAAATAAATCTCGAGATTTCGAGCTATAAGCATCAGGTATTTTAAAGCCTCCAGGAATTCTCATATATATGTCTGTATCGAGTGAACCGTATAAATATGCGGTCACCACATCCATTAGGCGCATTTGTAGCCTTTCAAAAACAGACATGCCAATTAAAAATCTTAAAGTTGTAGCATCAACTACTGGAGAATACGTCTCATCATAATCGATTCCTGGCATTTGAGAAAAACCTTGGGCAACAAGTCGGGCTTTGTATCTAAAGATTTCATTTTTCTCGTTGCGTTTACGCACAAAAACCCATTTAAAACCGACAGGTTTTACGCCTTTTGGCGTATGGACAATTGGTCCAAAAACATTACGCTTTTCTAGCGATTTTAATTCTACCTGAATTGCTTCATTCCATTTTGGCCAATCATTTCTACGACGACATTCGTCAATAGATTTAGGCTCATTGTCATCGTGTTCATTCATTATATCTATGGCGATGGCATATGAAAATATATCATTAACATCAATATCATTTCTATTCCATTGTATTCCATTAGAAACGTAATTAATTGAAATTTCAAAATTATCGACGTTTCTATCTTTATCTGGAATATTTACCTCTTCGAAGGTGATTGGATCCTCTTTTGAGGTATCATTATTATTGATGTTATCTTCAAGGGCGATATTTTCAAAATGTTCATTTTCTTCTTGAGAAGGTTGAACTTCTTTGGCATCACACACTACAACTTGTTGTTTAAATTTTCTTGGTTTCAAATCTCTTGAACCAAGTGGTCTACCACGTTTTTTACGTATCATAGATTCATTAGCAAGTGTTCTTTCGCTAATCTCCGCAGGAATTTCTATTCGAGAAGGAGCATTCATAGCTGGAACATGTGACTTTGTCACTTTCTTTGAGTCTGTGAAAGCATCAGGCAATTGGTTTGCAACATTTTGTAAATGAATAATCTTTTGAATTTCTTGTTCACAAGCATTTGTGCGAGAATCAAGAAAAGATAAATTTGTTGCATTCCAAGTAATATCTTTCGTACGTGGGTCCATTTCTTTAATATCTCCCCCTAAGGCTGGGAATACTGTCTCATCAAAACGACAAAAGGGGGAAAAAGCGGGTGCCCCTTTATGTGTAGATTTCTCTACTATTTATGCTTGATACTAATCTGCAGGGATATCTTTATTATGGCACCTAATGTTTGTCATCAACAAAAAGGGGGAATTTGTTGAGTATGTGGTTTTGTTGATGACTAATCATGCAGGTGGAACGGGGGACAGAACCGACTACGGAGAGTTCTAATATGAACTCTGGACAGAACAGTTCCACGAAACATTCGGTCCCATAATTTGTTATGTGTCTGCATGTGCATGTCTTTCAACGTATGATATTTTACTGCATTAATACCTTTCCATAATTGATTGAATATTTTGTGAAATGTATTGCTACATATGCTTTATGGAAAGTCACTTTATGGAAAGAAATATGAGTGCTTTTTAAATATATACGTGATTTGCTTATTTGAGTGGTACGTATATTACTTTGCTTATTTTATGGAAAGTATCCTCCTTGCTAATTGCTATAATGTGCTTGCATGATTAATTGCTTATCTAAGTATACGTGGGTTATTTCAAATATCTTTCCATGCATGACTAAGCACCCATCTTAGTGAGTTTGACCTCAACAATGATTAAAATGCTTTATGGAAAGTTTTTTTTAAAAATAAAAAAAAAAGGGCTTTGCATGACTCATGTTTCAACTGACCGTAGGATGCTTAAATACTTTGCAGCCTTACAATTTGAAAAGTCATCTTATGAAGTAAATATTTTTGGAATGAATATTGATTGATCTCACGTACTTTGAATGAGCCGAAATATTCTCTTAATCTATGACTGATATGCCATCTTAAATATATGATTGTGATATTTTAATTTGGCTGCCTTATATACTGCATAAGCTCGGATATGAGATATATTATGAAAGGAAAGCAATTCAAATAATATCAAGGCAAGTTCCAAGTATGGAAGCTCAATTTCTTAGTGAAAGAGACACCAACGGACAAATCAAGGTAGCCTATATATAATCGAAGAAGCTAAAGAGAAAGGGGTGTGCTGAACCGAGAAAAATACTTAGAAGAATCATTCAAGAAAAGATCAAGTCCTTGGCGACTGAAACTGCCTGCTCGGAGTTCTAGATAGAGTTTCTCCTTTCCCTTTCATATTGTACTTGGAATATTGAGGCTTAATTGGCTAGAGTAGCTGCCTCGGGTTAAGTGTGTGTGAGAGCTTTGTGACAAAGCTGAGAGGCTCTCTACCCGCAAGGTAGAGATGCATAACTCTTCCTAGAGAGGATAGAGTTGGGGAGGCTCAAGGGTAGATTAGGAGAATCACTCTTGTAACTCTTTCAAAGGCTTGTTTAGTGAAGTTGTTTAAAATTCCTCCGAGGGAGGTCGAGGTTTTTTAATCCCTTTGAGCCAAGGGATTTTTCCTCGTTAAATTCTTGTGCACTTTACTGTTTTGCAATTCCCTTTATCCCACACTAGAACTCGGCGAAAAACTGACACGGTTCCACACACACACAATTCACCCCCCCTCTTGTGTTGCTAACCGTTTTCATCAGTTCCCATTCATGCTGACCGCGACCCTCCCACTGCATGCGTGCCTACCAACAGCCGTTCTCATGCGCCACCGTTGTCCCCTTGCCTACTCACCATGGTCGTGCCCTTGTATGCACGCCTACCCTATGCCGCCGTTGTCTCCATGCCTGCACGCACACCACACAAGGTATAGAGACAAACCCTGGGTTGGAGATGATTGAAGACTGTGTGCAATGAATTCTAAAACAGTGAGTAGTGAGCGCAATGTAATTTGTATTTGATGCAATAACATGACAAGAACAGAGCCGGCCACGAGGCCATTTCACCTAGGCACTTGCCTAGGGCCTCACTTTTTTATTGGGGCCTCAAAAACAAAAATTAGTTAAGCTATTATGGAGTAAGTTTTAAATTTAGTTATTCGAAATTGGTTCTGGAGTTTGACGAAGTACTCTTTGGCCAAACCTAAACTTTTTCACCTTATTTAATGAATTGATAGTGCGGTCTGCATTTGAGGCTTACTGTCCACTAGCCACGTATGGAGTATTATCTTTTGTCATTATATGCTCCTTTTTTATTGAACTGATTACATTTTTTGAAAGTTTTTGGTTAATAACTTAAAAAATAATTGCAATTGGGCGTTTAGTTAGTTAGCTACTACGCAGTAATATTTTATAATTGCAATTGGAATTGTTATTTTTTTATTTTTTGTTAATGGTTTTTCTATTAATTATTATCTTTTTTTTCCTTTTTTAATTATTATCTATAAATATGCTAAATATGTAGGAATTATCATGACGGGTAAACCAGTAAAGAAAATTTCTCATTAATATGTAAAGAGAAACAATAAGTTGAAAAGAGATGTGGTTATTAAATTGCTTACCGACTCTATTGATCGATTGTATAGACAAATTTTTCTTCCTCAAAATTGTTGGCAATGACAATGCGGATGTTGAATTACTATTTTATCTTATTTTCATGAGTATGTGTTATATGAATCACATTAATATAATATGTGTCAAAATAAGTGGCACACTTTATTTTTTGGATTGCATTAATATTAAAATAAGTTTCAAACTTTTATTTTTGAAAAACAAAATCACCCCAAAAGCCTTTTTCAATAAAAGAAAACAGTACAACTAGTCAACTACAGTACCTAAAAACTCGTAATTTTAAATTATGGAAAAAACATACCCTATCACATATTATGATACGGAGGTGGTACTAAACGTTTTTCACCTCAGGCCTCCAAAGCGCTAGAGCCGGCCCTGGACAAGAAATACAATGGTTAAGGCAAGAAGTGCAATAATATAATGTAGCACATTCATATTGACATAAAGTGCACTTATCAAATCTAAGAGGGAAAAAAAGAACTATATATTTCTAACATTTTTATAAAGTGCACATTAATATCACTCCGGCATGAAGTGAAATAACGCGACGCCCATATAAAGTGTTTTGTATCGTAAACATTAAAGTTACAAAAATCAAAAGGAAAAAAAGAACAGATAATGCATAACCTTTTTGTAATGCTTTTAAAAAAAGTTACAAATACAAAATGCTCCTAAAATGCGCTCCTAACTTAGAGCATTTTAATATTCAAGTCACTATTGGGTTAAATAATAAGAGAACTTACTAAATTAGTTATTTACTTCTTCCGTTCTTAAATAATTGCAACGCTTTCCTTTTTCGGCAGTTTCAAAATAATTGCAACCTTTCTCTTTTAGGAAATAAGCAATAGATGAAATGACTATAATGCCCTTAATAATTCAACATGAAGACCCATCCACCTAGGGGTGGTTCAGTATGGTATACCTTATATTTTTTCTCATACCTTTGCCATACCAAAACTTTCGGTATGCAAAATTTGCATACCTTTACCTTACCGAAGTTTCGGTATACCACATTTCGGTATACCGAAGTTTCGGTTCGGTAACGGTACGGTATCGGTAAATTACCGTGCATGTCTCCCAATACAAAAAATTATCATAGACTAACGAAATATACTAAATCGTTATTACTAGCGACATATTAAATCTATTATTAAAATGTTACGAAATACAATTAATAATCATTGATGTCAATTCAATATTGAACAATAATTATTATTAGTATATTTAAGCAGTTCAACATACCACATATTAAAAAGTAACACATTCTCCTAAAATAACTTGAACAATATAGATATAATTAAATCAATAGTGATTTCTAACAAAAATAAATAAAACTATTCAAACAACATGGATAGAAAATCATTTATTCTTAATATGATATTGTGTATTTAGTCATTTTTATAATTTTTTAAAAAATGAATAAGACTTTCGGACAAAGTTGTGTGTCTCGACTCGCTGAATCCCTATGTAGATACACTTGCCACATAAGTGTATCTATCTTCACTCGTCAGCTACTTAGCGGCCCAACCATCACGACTTGAAAGCTCTTGGAACAAGATGGACTTGTTTCTTGACATTTGTACATTACTCATTAGTCATTTAAGGTTAGCGTAGTAGAAGCCTATAAGATTATAGTGGGTTTGAGAAATTGGACCTTTATTTTTGTATTTTTGTATTTGTAACCAACTTAAGTATTAATTTTGGACTTCAAAATTGTAATGGATTTCTTCAATATATTAGAATTAAAAGTAATTGTTGAGTAGGGAGTCGGTACGGTATTATACCGGTATACCGCGGTATTTGAAAACATTTACCGTTACCGTACCGAAATAGACCGGTACGGTATGATACCGTACTGAAAATGACGGTATACCAATATTTCGGTATTTTCCGGTATTTTACGGTACGGTAAGTGCGATATACCGATATTTCGGTATTTTTGCCCACCCCTACATCCACCCACCTAGGGCTGGGACTTTGGAACCAAGAACCGGAGAACCGAACCGGACCGAACCGTTATGACTCGGTTCGGTTCGGTTCCAACAATTATTAGTTATTTGTTAACGGTTCGGTTCCTATTTTTTATTAACGGTTCGGTTCTCGGTTCCTGAAAAAAATATGTACCAAGAACCGTTAAGGAACCGTTATATGTATTAATTAAAATTATATACATATTCTTAGGAGTATATATATTTTAATGCATATTTACTTACTTATTTTTATATTACGTTCATTGTTTTAGTTTTGTTATTTAACTATTTAAAACTATTATTCACTTCAACCGGTTCTCTTAGGCTTCTTAGGCCTCTCATTAGGTCCAAACTCCAGCGGGTTGGAACTAGGAAGATCCAAACTATTTAAAATTACTATTCTCTTTAACTGGTTCAACATATTTATATTGTAATTTCCAACGTTGAATGTCTTTTTGCCAAAAATTTAGTTGTAATTTGTAAGAATTTTTTCAAAGACTAGGAACCGTTAACTGACAAGAACCGAACCGTTAAGAACGGTTCGATTCCTTATCGGTTCTATAAAATAATTTATAAGAACCGAACCGTTAGTAAAATTTCATATTTTCAAACGGTTCCACATATTTTGCCTAGGAACCGAACCGGTCCCAGGCCTACACCCACCTCCCCCGCCCCCCATTTGTCTTCTCCCAACATTATTACGCCATCTTTGCTTCTTATCCCTCACCATCTTCTTTCTTTATCCAGATTTTCTTCAATTCTTTTTTTAGATTTGGATGGAATGGAAATCTTGCTAGAACATTTAGCATGTTTTTTACTCCGACTACAATTTTGTGACGGTAGTGCATTTTTTCTCCGGCTACGCCTTTTCTTTTCCATCACCGACAACATTCTTTTCTTCGTCTTTCTGAGTCGAAAAAAACTCCTAAGTGCAATTCTGAGCTCGGATTTGTATTTGGAATGTTAATTTTCGGCCATAAACCCAAAAACGATCTGCATTATCGCCGATGGTACTATTCATAGTGAAATCGTTTTCTGTAAAAGCTTGGATTTAGGTTATGTATTTGGATTTGAGTTTTGTAGGTTGCTGACCACTCTCAGACGCACATCCAGGCCCTGGTTTTGTGTTGGAAGAGGCTGGTTTGCTAAACTCCACTTTCAGGCTGGTTTTGTGCGAATAACTAGGTCCAGTTTTGCTATCCTTGCAGAAAAAGAAGTGTTGCCGCAAACCGGAAACCTCTTAATTTGCATCCCAAACTGGTTTCTCCACTGGTAGGAATAGTGCATTTTGTAGACAAAGGTGCTGATAGAGATAATACAGTCTGACAAGGGTAAAAATGGAAAATACAGAAGTCTGTCTCCAATTCTTAATTCTCGTGCCCAGAGCTATGTTGCAATTATATCCGAACGGAGGAAGTATTAAAAAACGAAATGTTGCAGTTGGCCATCTAAATGATTAAAACATTGCTTAAAAATTATTAAAACATGTGGCATAATTACCTTATATTGGTCAGAAAAACAAAAACATTTTTATCCATGAAACTGCACTTCTAAAAAAGCATCTTTTTTCCTAAAAAGAAAGCAAATCCCTAAAAGATTGGAGCTTGTAGATCGTAGCCGACCTCATTCCTATTCATCTAAACGACAGAGATCGCAGAGTCCCCCGACCTCCAGATTTCCGTTTCACCACAGATCCATCAAACGTAGCATCTCTCGTCGCCGATCGGCCTTGTCTCTGCATCTACCACGCACGTTGTGGAAGCTTCTCAACTCTCACCAAACTTTTCTCTCACAAAACCAACAATCCTAAAGAGTTCTCCAGATTGCTAGTAGGTGAGTTGATTATTCCTTTTATTTAAAACGACCTCCTCTGTAATACTATAATCATGGCTTTAACAGTTAATATCTAAATATTGAGAAACTAGACAAAAACATTTATGTTGTTCAAATTATATCAGATACGGAGTACAAAATTAGAGGATTAAAATTAAATGAGGGCCGGATTAATCAAAGATGTGAATAGTGCACTAATGCGTAGTATTGTAGTAAGAAAGAGAAGTACGACAATACAATCATTTGATACTAGCTGCGTCCTAACTAAAGACTTGTTCAGCTAGCTTGAAAACGACATTGTTTTTTTATTTTATTTTATTTTTGAAAACGACATTGTTATAGTGCATGTATAAATAAAATTTTCTTATTTGAATCGAAATCTTAATCTGGTTTGATTTCTTTTGATTTGATCTGGTTTAATTTGAACGGGTCTAATCTAGTTTGGTAGGTGTTTAGGATGTTTTTACTTGGACTGTAATTTGCGGTCTGGTCTGGTCTGATCTGGTCTGGTCTGATCTGGTCTGGTCTGATCTGGTCTGGTCTGATCTGGTCTGGTCTGAACTGGTCTGGTCTGGTAAAGTCTGGTTTCTTTGTATTTTTATAACTACCCAAGTCTGGCCTGGTCTGGTCTGAACTGGTCTGGTCTGGAACAAATTACAGTCCAAGTTAAAACATCCTTAGTCTCCATGTATTTATAATTAGAAAAGTTTGATATAATATGATTTGGTCCGGTCTATTCTAGTGTGGTCTGGAATTGAAATAAATTGAATAAAAATATCCTAATACGACTATCCGAGTACACCAGTGGGGTAAGTAATAATCTAATAATAATGGTAATAA